CTCATGTGTTACATTGCGTCCCTGCACAACTGGGGGTAAAACAAAAGGTGTTCTGTTGCAGGTGTTAGTCTGCTAGGAAACCCCATTTGGCTGCCACTCAGTTATGTATTTAAAGACTCATGGTGCTCTTGCTGTAGGGCTTGTTTGTCTGTGCAGGCAGATGTATATTCCTCTGCTCAGCCAGCTGCATTAATATGCATTACATGCTGGGCTGTGGAGCTATGCCTTTGCAGGATTATACCTTATTACACCTGACAAGCTGCTGTTCTCTGAGGCATATTAAATGGACACACAGTGACACTTTGGTCAATTCCAAATTTGAAGTTTCAAATTGAATGAAATGTCAAGCTGAATGAGGATATTTAGTAAAATCTGAGGTGAAACTAGTAATAACTTTGGAAAGAGTTTTGAACAATATGGCAGAAAGATTCAACTTTTCCACTTGCTGATAGCATCATTTTACTACAGCGATCCTCTGGTGTGTAACTGGTAAGTGTATTTATCCCAGCAATAGTAGGGGAACAGTCTAGAAGAGAAACTGCGCCGCCAGGAATTCAATTCAAGTAAAAATATGCAAGTTCCTCATCTATGAAAAGTACAAGTGTTTAAAGATGAGTTTATTTGAATGACTGTACTTTTGGGTGGTTTAAGTTGCAGTACTGCATTATATTTTGTCACTGTTGTGTCAAAAAATAAAGCTTTTTTTCAGCTTTTTTGCCTTTATGCATACATACATTATGGAGCCAGAGTAAAGCAGGGTTAGTCTCTGCTCTCCCTTGGTGGTTTGGTTTGAGGGACTGTATTTACTCTCTCAGTAATCAGTGCACTTAGACGGATGTGCTCCTCAGATAAGTGTTTCCCTTGATGAGGTCTTTACCACAACCCATGGTGGGGGCGGTTGTCCCAGCCCACAACTCCTAAATCAAGTGTCCTTCTCTGCTGTTGTAAATGAGAAGTCGGTTAGGGTGTAATTGGGTTTGCATATTCTGTGGGATAAGTCCATGGACTGTTTTCCAGATATAGAGGGAAAACTATAATGACATTCCAAAGAGACTAGCTTGCAAGTAAACACTGGGATTAATGCTATGTTTTTGTCAAAAGGCATTTAAAAGACTTTTCTGTCTTTCTGATATCATACTGAAAATACAGACACTACAAATTACGTGATTGGCTATCTGACATATTACATTGCAGAGTTGCACCTTAGTACTTGCTGCTGCTTGCTTAAAATGTAAAAATGAAGAAAAACTAATTAGTTAGGTAGCAGTACTTGCTATTTTCTTGTACAGTGTACAAAATGGCAATAAACAGCATAAAACATGATGTTATTTCCAAGTGAGAAGAATTAAGCCAATGCGAACATCCCTCAAATCTTTATTCTATCTGAAGGCCACCATTTGGCAATACAAATGTACTCTTTCCTATTGAGTTTATGGGATTTGTCATGCTTGTGGGTCATATTGACTACAAAATTGTCTGTTTTAGAAGTCTTGGTCATACTGTGTTTCATTGGCTCAATGAATAATTATTTTTCGATCACAAGTCATTACGCAGTGAGCTTGCGGTTTTGCAGTCAGACGCGCTGCTTCCTCAAGTCTAGTTTTATGGAGCAGAGATGGTGAAAATGCTAATATCAAGGCTTCAAAATGGGATTTAAGAAATCAGTGGATGACTTCATGGTATCTGCTTCCATCTTTTATATGGCTAATGTGTGTAGCTCATAGACAGTGTAGTGTATAATGACACACTCTTGGGACCTGGAGGAAAACTGCAGCATTTTAGTAATTTTTTTAAATGAAGGTTCTGGTTGTTGCCATCAACGAGTTATCTCTTGCCAGCATAGAGACAGATATAAACAGTAGGCCTTTATACACAAGTGTGTATTTTGGCTTTATGCATTTATTTTTTACGCAAGTAGATGATGATCAAAGCCATTTTAAACAGAGTTTTTCAGCTGTACAAACTAAACCAACACGGATCTCTGTCAGCTCCAGTCTTGTTGAAGGAGACAAAAATAAGCAGGCCAGCTTTTTTTCTGCTCTTTCTTTTTAATTTATATTTTCCAGCCGGTTTTTCCCAACATAAAGAGGGTTCACAGCCGTACTCGTCTGATCTTGCAGCAAGACTTTCCACAACTCATTTACATGTTTTCTTTCACCTCACACATACATATACACTAAAAAGAAACTTCCCCCTCATATTACCTGAAACTCATTTCTCCTCCTGCTCATCTCATCTCTTCTGATTGTTCCTCTTCCTTCATCTGCATTCTCTCCACATCAAAGAGTCGAGATCCGTTTTTCTGTCCGGGATGCTTGAGCAACAGTAGTTTTGCAAACTGCTAATGCATCTGGTGATGCTATCAAAACACAGCACTGTGGGTTGGGGTTTTTTTTTGGCTCTTTGTTCTGGCAGAGAGTGTTCACATCAACATTGTCTCATATCTTAGTGTTTAATCTTTTCATTTGGTCTATACACATCAGCTTTCAGAGGAGAGCAGACCCCGTCATTTCTCCATCTCTGCAAGAAAACACAACATTAGAGATTTACTACATCCCTTGTTACCAACTCTTAGGAATGACGTTGAGTCAAGATGCTGCTAATTGGATGTATGCTTATGTGAAAAGGAGGCCCTTGCTGCTTTTGTGCAAAGAGATAAAGAGCTAGGGCAGAAAAGTCGGGAGGCCACAGTTCATAGAGAGCTAACATGTAGGATTTCATGGTGGGCGTGCTATGTTAGGAATTCCAACTCATGTTGTAACTAGAACTCCTGAAAGGCTCTGTTCTTTCCTGGTGGCTGGGACATCTCAGACCCCGCTTTGGCACTGAGCCCAGCCCCTCTGTCTAATTATCAATGTGCCTTTTTGTGTCTTTGGACTCTTGTTTTTATGTATGTCTTCAGCAACATCAGCTCTACAAAAGGCCTGGAACTGCTGTAAAATGAACACAGCAGCGTTAGGCGTGACTGTATTTATTCTCTATGCACAAGTGTTCAAACACTCTTACTGATTTCCTCACATGAAGTGAGAATTTCTAATTTATCCACTGAAGTTACCCAAATTGACCCGCATAAGTCTGTAAAGGTTAAATTGGATCATTAACGAACTTAAGTTTTACACATGAGTCATTACAGGATCGTGTCACTTTAAAAATCTAAATCCAAGTCATTTTCTCTTGATGACTTTTGTGGACTGGAAAATCAATATATCAGAAAGAAAGACAGAAATGATATTTAATCATTGCTCCATAGGTCTATCTTTTAGGAGGCTGAGGGGTAGCAGTGGCCAGACTCCAGCGAACCACGATAAAAGCCATTATCCACAAATGGAGAAACCTTGTAACAGTGGTGAACAGTGGCCTACCAAAAAGTTAAAGAATTTTGAGGTCAAGTCCAAATGCACTTCCTTGGGTTCAGTTTTCAGACCTGGGGATGTTCCTGGCAACTAATTTCTTAGTCGACTACATGAGGAAAAAAAATGAGGCTAACCAGCTCGTGTACAACTAAGAAACACTCAGACATTGAGTTACATTTGTGAACCTTGAATAGGACAATGTCAAAAACTCAGACAAAGGCATTTGAAACCATTAATCACAATTAAAATGTTAACAGTTACACTAAACGACTTGTATGTCTGGTACCGAATAGTGATAACAACGACTAATTGTGTTGTCGCACACATCCCTAATCTATACCGTGTTCATCAACAATGCGGTCATTTTTTAAAGCGATGAAACCTGTTATCCACCCGCCTGCAGTCTGCTATTTGGCTCAAGCACTAATAAAAATGGTTGCAGCAAGGGTGGATGTCACAGTTTGCAATGATCAACATGTCAGCTGTAATCATAGCTGTAGAAACTGTGGACTGTTGAGTTGATGCTGGCAATGTTTCTACAAGTGCAACAAGTTTTCCACACTTCTGCACACCTCTACAGACACACACACACAGTCACATGTGATTTTCCACACCTGTGTGGGAAAACACAATGAAAGGAATTGACTCAGATGAATGGTGCTGATTTAGAGGGCCTGGTAATCTGGTTCCTGTGTGGGTCCTTGGTAGACAGTGGAGCCTTTACTTTGCCAGTCTCTGCTGTAGGATGAGAAACAATAGAGCTATGTGAGGAGCATTTTCATTTCTTTTTAGATGCTGAAGATGGATTATATTTGCTATCGGAGTGTAGTTTGGTATTAGTTAAAATGTGGCATTAAGGGTGGAGTGAAGCATTGGGATGATGTAAGATGTGAGTTGGATAGTTAAAGAAAAGAGAAATATGCACGTACAAGATCTAGTTCTGTCACACTGAAAGGTCTGACTTTGATATTTTATCAAACTTTTTAAAGGTTCCTGAATAAAATGTATTTATTTCATAACCGCTAAACCTGTTTGTTGGCAACTACTCTTCAATTTGAGTTCACCTCAGTTGTTGTGAGTCAGGAAGATTGCAAGACAAAAGATCATTGCAGTGTAGTCTGTCTTGGAGTGCTGAATGAATGAGTGAGACATGGAATAAGAAGCACTGTCTCTTCCGAGGAGAGTGGGGAACAAAACAACAACAACCTGTAGTCAGTTAGGAAGACTGAACTGGTATATTTGCACCAAGTATACCTTTTATCCGTGCATGCTCGAGTTTTTTAAGCTGTCACTCTCAATTTTAAAGAGCTGTGATAAGATGCCGATGTAAATGAGGGTAAATCATACATTTCTGCAAGGTTGAATCATTTGGCTGCTGTGAGGGTGTCAGACTCGCTGTGAGATGGGGAAGGGTGAGGCAACGGGAGGCGAGGAAAGCTCTCCATCCTGTCAGGGATGTCACGTTGTTTGATAAAGGGAGTGACGACAGAGAGAAGTGCAGAGGAAAGAGAAACATTTTGAAGGCACACACAGGTTTGAGGGATTGGCAGAGCGCTCTGAATAAAAACAAATAGAAAAAATCAAATATGTTGGCAATTACCTGTTTTTGATCCTCTTGTCATTTTGTCCATGTCTGTCTTTTTCCAGAGCTGCTGGGCTCTACCAAGAGGCTCAACATCAACTACCAAGACTCAGATGGGTAAGAGGCGTGCATGTGTGTACGTGTTTATGTGCGTCTCAGCGAGAGATGAACACGAAGCTGAGTCAGTGGAATGCAATGGAAGAGTCATTGTTTCTTGATTGATGTGCAGATTGTGTTCAGTCTTCACAGAATGACTCACAGTAGAATCACACGCATGTGCTGACAGAGTGTCCTTCAGTTTTTACCTCACTCTTTGTTTTCCGATAATGTCTGTTAGAGCTTGGAGTAAAATGATTCTTTATATTCACTTAGATTCATTCTGACTTCTTTCAGAGGTTTATAGAAGATGTTACCTTTATTCCTGCAGTTTAAGGCTACAGACACTCTACGGAAAACAGTGACTGGAGACCACTGAGCAACATTATTGCAACCATATCCAGTCGAAGTGGTTGCATCAGGTCTGAGACCGCTCCTATTCAGTTGCGGCCTTCAAAGTGACTTTGGTGCATCATGATGGCGATGAATCAGAAATAAAACTGTGTTAAGATGGAGTATCGGCTTATGAATGAATAGGGTTAAGTTGGCACTTATATGTAATATGTTTATAATACAGGGAGTGCAGAATTATTAGGCAAGTTGTATTTTTGAGGAATAATTTTATTATTGAACAACAACCATGTTCTCAATGAACCCAAAAAACTCATTAATATCAAAGCTGAATGTTTTTGGAAGTAGTTTTTAGTTTGTTTTTAGTTTTAGCTATTTTAGGGGGATATCTGTGTGTGCAGGTGACTATTACTGTGCATAATTATTAGGCAACTTAACAAAAAACAAATATATACCCATTTCAATTATTTATTTTTACCAGTGAAACCAATATAACATCTCCACATTCACAAATATACATTTCTGACATTCAAAAACAAAACAAAAACAAATCAGCGACCAATATAGCCACCTTTCTTTGCAAGGACACTCAAAAGCCTGCCATCCATGGATTCTGTCAGTGTTTTGATCTGTTCACCATCAACATTGCGTGCAGCAGCAACCACAGCCTCCCAGACACTGTTCAGAGAGGTGTACTGTTTTCCCTCCTTGTAAATCTCACATTTGATGATGGACCACAGGTTCTCAATGGGGTTCAGATCAGGTGAACAAGGAGGCCATGTCATTAGTTTTTCTTCTTTTATACCCTTTCTTGCCAGCCACGCTGTGGAGTACTTGGACGCGTGTGATGGAGCATTGTCCTGCATGAAAATCATGTTTTTCTTGAAGGATGCAGACTTCTTCCTGTACCACTGCTTGAAGAAGGTGTCTTCCAGAAACTGGCAGTAGGACTGGGAGTTGAGCTTGACTCCATCCTCAACCCGAAAAGGCCCCACAAGCTCATCTTTGATGATACCAGCCCAAACCAGTACTCCACCTCCACCTTGCTGGCGTCTGAGTCGGACTGGAGCTCTCTGCCCTTTACCAATCCAGCCACGGGCCCATCCATCTGGCCCATCAAGACTCACTCTCATTTCATCAGTCCATAAAACCTTAGAAAAACCAGTCTTGAGATATTTCTTGGCCCAGTCTTGACGTTTCAGCTTGTGTGTCTTGTTCAGTGGTGGTCGTCTTTCAGCCTTTCTTACCTTGGCCATGTCTCTGAGTATTGCACACCTTGTGCTTTTGGGCACTCCAGTGATGTTGCAGCTCTGAAATATGGCCAAACTGGTGGCAAGTGGCATCTTGGCAGCTGCACGCTTGACTTTTCTCAGTTCATGGGCAGTTATTTTGCGCCTTGGTTTTTCCACACGCTTCTTGCGACCCTGTTGACTATTTTGAATGAAACGCTTGATTGTTCGATGATCACGCTTCAGAAGCTTTGCAATTTTGAGACTGCTGCATCCCTCTGCAAGATATCTCACTATTTTTGACTTTTCTGAGCCTGTCAAGTCCTTCTTTTGACCCATTTTGCCAAAGGAAAGGACGTTGCCTAATAATTATGCACACCTGATATAGGGTGTTGATGTCATTAGACCACACCCCTTCTCATTACAGAGATGCACATCACCTAATATGCTTAATTGGTAGTAGGCTTTCGAGCCTATACAGCTTGGAGTAAGACAACATGCATGAAGAGGATGATGTGGACAAAATACTCATTTGCCTAATAATTCTGCACTCCCTGTAGTACCATAATTAAATGTGAAAAACCTCAAATCTGTTGCTCACTGTTTCTGTTTGCATCAGAACTGCAGTGCGGTACAGAGCCAGGGGCAGGCTTGCCACTGTCAGCGTATTGACAAACTAAAAATGAAAACAATAAGAAGAGGCTGAGGAAAACTGAATATGTTTATGATAGAAGGATGAACTCTGAAAATGCTGGGGACTGTGTTGCTCTGAGAACTGAGACTGAGGTGGAGCACGAGTTGCTTTATTACTATTCCTCCATATTAACATGAAATCTATGTGTCATTGGTGACATGTATGAGATGCTGACTGACACAAAACATTTATTTATTTATTATTTATTTATTTTCATTTTCATGTTTTTTTGGAGGGGAGGTCTCATGCATATATGTCTGGAGGTAGAATAGAGTAGATAGAATAGAATAATCCTTTAATTGTCCCACAAGGGGAAATTTGGTTGTATCAGCAGCAAAAAAACCACGCATATACAAAAAGAACAGGACACAGAACAGAAAACACAATTTTTACATGTTTACATCATGGACAATAGTTACAGAGCAGAGTACAATACAGTTGTTAAATTTAGCGTACAGATAGTGTGCAAACAGAGCAGGATACTGAAAGAAGAGTGACATGTTATAGAGGGACACATAGAGTACATAGAGTGACATGTTAGTTTGCATCCTGTGTCATCTACCAAGTTGGACACCTGTCGGTGTTAATTATTGAAGTTAAGTGGCACAACTCACTAAACAGTACTATAGGGATGATTCTATATATTAAACCGTTTGTGTTGTTGCATTTACTGTTGAGTGTCTGAACAGGAAAGAATAGGACAGGGAATATTGCCCATATTGATTTGGCTAATCTTTAACTTAACATTAAGACATTATTCTAGCAAGAGATATTTGTTATGCACTAGCACCTATTGAGGAAGGGAAGGGAAAGAAATGTGAATGTTGCTTTGTGTGTGTGCACTGCTGAGAAAAGACACGCAAAGCTGCTTTCATTGTGTGCTGATCTCTGTGTATAAATGAAACTAAAAGCCTAAAACACTGGAAAAGAAAGGAAAACAAGGTGTACTATATCATTGTGTGTGTGTGTTTTGGGATTTGCCTCCTCTCTTCTTCAACTTGCTCTGTTTAGCTCAGTTCTGCTCTGTTTCAATGAAAAATCTTATCTTATCTTCATTTTAAGTATTATTGCAGAGAAGGAATATGTGGAGTTTGGCTCAAAACACTCTGAGTGAGAATTGAGAGTTGAGTAAAGAGTAAGAGACAGAACCAAAACTTTTGGCAATGCACTCACAGATTTGAGCCATCCAGCGGATTATGCATTTGTTTTGATACATTTGATCTCCCCTTGAACTTTAACAAACACTTAGCGGCATCTACTCACATATGAGATGCACAATAAGGTTTTCTGAGTGCTTTTCTGTGTTAAACTTAGTGTAATTTATACAAAATTGAATGCCACAAACATTAGTAACTCATTGTGTCTCGACTTGGAGAAATAAATGATGGAGCAGACGAGTTGCTCCTTGGCACAGTGACTGATCGCAGTGTGTTGGCAAGCTGTCCAACCCAGATAGTTTGGAGACAGGTTACCTTTGCAGTCACCTTGTGACCTAAACTGCTGTCCCAGGGGTTGAGGGTGCTGCATGCTCTCTGGGTGACCAGTTAATCGTTGTAACTAGTTACAGGTGATCCCAGACAGCCAAACTTAAATGCAATCACTTTTCATGGCCCCATGATGGTTACCAGCTTTTTTTCCTTTAGTGTGGCTGAGGCAGCAGGAAGTTATGAAGGCAGAGAAATAAAGCATCTTTGCTAGCTGATGAGCCGTGTTCCAAATAGTATAGATAGGCTAATGTTGGCACCATTGTCCTAACTTCTTATGATGTAGCATTCAGAATTGGCTTTCATTGAGCTGGAAGACGCAGTGCCATTGTTGCACCACTGTCCTGACTGCACTGTGTAGATATTTTTAAGGCCTATTTCTATGTCATCTTTAAGCAAAAAGAATATGAAAATATGAAATGATGTCCGTGCTCCACTGTGTCCACGTGTTGCCTGGTTATACTTCTGTGATCAGCCAGTGTTGGTTGGTTACATATGTTTTAGTCTTGTTTGAATACATTTGCAGACAAATAAACTGCTCCCATTAGGGCAGCTGTGAGTCAGCATTGTACTCTTTTATTATTTAGATTTTTTGGTATAAAGTAACTGCTTTTGATTCAGTTTGGCTCTTCTGTTCATCCTGTGTAGATATGCTTCAAGAATGCACATTTTATGTAAGATGTTTACTGTTTTTCCCTTCAGATGTACTTTTGCAGTTTTATTTCAGTAGGCCTTAAAACACGCAAAGAATCTCTCTTTCCAGACTGCAGTTTGAGTCTCAGTCTACGTGTGATGTGATTCTGTGTTGACTTAGACCCGCTGCGTGTGTCTACATGCAAGGTCAGTGCAGTGTGTGGGAGGCGACATACAATAGGGGTGCTGAAATCAAACATGCACGACTGCGACAAGACGAGTGCAGAAGGTGAACAAATCGTCTGCTGTCACCAAGTCAAAATTATCCCAGGAGGACATTTTCAGACGTGTTTGTAGAAAGTCACCGTAACTGATGACTCAAGATGAGTAGACGGGAATGTGAAAGAATAAATGGTGGTATATGTGTGCTGAGGAGACATCTGAATAATGTGAGTGATAAGATACGCCATCTCGCAGTCTGCAGATACAGTCGGAGCTTCGGGTCTGGTCTAAACTCTGAAAGACCTTACAACTCAAGTTTCGTCTTGTTTTCTTTTTTTGGTGTACCTGGCCTCTTTAAAGCTAACTGTACCTAATAACTCTGGATCAAAGGAATGTATATATTATAGTTTATAATAATAGTTTATATCGATGTTTCTAAATACACATCTTGGATAGAAGATGGGACATAGGTCATCTATTTGTTCTGAACTGAACGTTTTGAAACCTGGACATTTTCTGCCTTTTAATGATGTAAAGTTCAACCTTTTGACATGAAAGTCTGTGGGGATTTATTCACTTTGTGTGCCAGGAAGCTGTGTGTCAGATCTGCATGAACCTGTTGCTTAATGTGAGGTATCGGTAAAAAACTATCTGTTGTGACTACGTAAGTTTTGTTTCGCAATGACTGCATCAGGCTGTGACAAATCACCTGAAAGCATGAATGAAGCAGATATTTAATCCCCATGTTAGACGAGTGTGTCACAGCTTCAACTGTGGAGTGTTCACTGTGTTTCTGTCCCCCCAGAAAAAGCAAAACTCATCACCAAAGAATTTATGTCTTTAATTTCTCCCTTAGTCATCTATATCGTGACCTGACAGACACCCAGAGACAAACACTTAGATTTTATCTCTGAAGCTGTGATGAACAAACACACTCACACATTTTCAAATTATACACACACATAAACCGTCACACCTACTTTATCAGAATTAGATCAGGTTTGATGTGACCACACACGTACACATCAGTTTACTGTTTTTTGCTGTAAAGGCAACAGGATGATTTCTAACTCTCTCATGCCCTCACCTGTCCCTACTCTTGATCTGTCTTGTCTCCATGTTTTTCCTTTGTCTCCTCTCGCAGCTTCTCGGCCCTGCATCATGCAGCTCTAACGGGGACCATCGAGCTGCTGTCTCTGCTGCTGGAGGCCCAGGCCACGGTGGATATCAAGGACATAAACGGTATCATGATGGCAGAACAGCTTTGCCGGTTAACCCAGTGTCACCACGCAAACCCACAATTTAGGGGGAAAAACATCCCAAATGTTCATGATGGAGAAGTCAGTTGAGGTTAAATTGAGCATGAAACCTCTTCACAAGTTTTCTGACACTCTCAGCTGAAAATAAATTTGACCCATATGAATAAATATGATTCACTTTGAAGTGGCTGCAGTGCTAATGTAGATATCCTCAGACTCCAAGTGGAACACATACAGTTGAGTTTGGCAGCTTGGCTCCTGAAACCAGAGGTGTGTAGAGCTCTTGAAGCATGTCCTGCCAGCTTTTCAGTTTTGTTGTATCCACTGGCCTCAGCAGGGGGCGTCAACCCTCCTTTGGGCTCCCTATGGACATAGAATTTGCTGAATTTTTTTTAAGCATTACTGACAGCCAGTGCATGGAAACAGAATAGCTCTATATCCTAATCAGACAAACAAACAAAATCAAACAAATTCACCTAACCAGAAAACAACAGGAAGTGAAAGACAAACAAACAATAAAACTGCTCTCCTTATTCAACATGGCATAATACTACCAAATCATCAGGCCCCTTCAAAGCTTTCTCCTCTAATATTTGATCTTAGTGGAAGGTTTTACCTCATTTGTCAGACCAGCATATTTGTTTATTTATATCATAATCGTGTCCTTCTAGTTGTAAATCAATTACAGATAGTGCTGGATCTTATGGGACATGAAAATATCTTCTCAAATGTGAAAAAGCTTTAGTCTTTCTGTGAAACAAAAACTGTTGCTCCAGCCTCTGTACACTTTCTACTGTTATATTGTCATTAGAAGTTAACTTTAACACATTAACCACATCTGAGTATGAACTGCAGCACTGACTAATTTCCAACCTTTAGCTGAGAATTCAGTTTTCAGATCTTCTTTCCATGTGTTTAACTTCTAATGTGGACTCCTCCAGTAAACAGAATGTAAATCCACTTTCTTATCATCATTATTATTTCAATAAGTGTTTGTGAGGAACAGTTACAATAAAAAGCATATTCCAATTAAATGTATGCCTTAGTTTGTCAAAAGATATGATTGCATAATGATCTGGATGATAATTCAAGTGGAGGGAGGTGGTGCGCGAGCCTACAAAAACAACAGTGACAGCCTTAGTATATGTGTATTACTGATAGTTATTATGAAATAATATAATTTTTCATTTTAAGAGGTCATGCCTAAGTAGCAGTCCCTGTATCTAATAACATGACTTTTTAAAATGATTGCTTTTTTATTCTTGTCTCCTAACCTCTTCTTACCTTTCTCATTTCCACGTTTAGGCATGCGTCCCCTCCACTACGCAGCGTGGCAGGGTAAAGCTGACTCTGTTCTATTGTTGCTGAGAGCCGGCGCTGCAGTCAACTCCCCTTCCAATGATGGACAGATACCGTTGCATCTCTCTGCACAGTACGGACACTATGAGGTGGTGAGTAAGCAGACAAACACCAGAGGCTAAAGGCAAAGTTCCAAGGTTTTACCTGTCCTCCCATTTCACTGAAATCGATCCCCTTTGTGCCTCAGCTGGTATTGTCCAGCAACAATAGCAGTAATACCATTAATGCATACCATTAAAGAGTCTACAGGCAGTAACGACGAATATTCCTTTCTACGTGCTTGCTGGAATGTTTGAAATGACAGTTGCGTATACCGTGCACATACAGAACTTGTTACGTCATACAACCCCTACCCATGCCTGACCTCTTTAGAACACAGAGGCTGCACCCGACCTGTTTTATGTTCGTTCAGACAAACACACACACACATTAATGAGCATGTTGGGAAGACTGACATGTGAAAGCAAGTAAAAATAATAATGGACTGCATTTATATAGCGCTTTTCGGGACCCTCAAAGCGCTTTACAATCCCACTATTCATTCACTCTCACATTCATACACTGGTGGAGGCAGCTACAGTTGTAGCCACAGCTGCCCTGGGGCAGACTGACAGAAGCCAGGCTGCCAGATCGCGCCATCGGCCCCTCTGGCCAACACCAGTAGGTGAAGTGTCTTGCCCAAGGACACAACAACCGAGACTGTCCGAGCCGGGGCTCAAACCGGCAACCTTCCGATTACAAGGCGAACACCCAACTCTTGAGCCACGAGTTGGACCACGAGTGCGTAATATATTAGTTGATTGCACTAATTTTACATTCTCTCCCTCTTCTTGGCTCTCAGTCTGAGATGTTGCTGCAGCATCAGTCTAATCCCTGCTTCATGAACAAGGCTAAGAAGACACCACTAGATTTGGCCTGTGAGTTTGGCAGACTGAAGGTATGAAAAGATTTTTGTGGAAGTTCCATATCTTTAATGTCTTCTTTTCCAAAATAAGAATGACGTTGTTTTTTCTGCAGGTATTTGCTTATAAACCAAAATATTCCCTGGATTAAAACTGATTATGACATCACATGAAAAGTTCACACATCTGCTCAAAATGAAAATTATCCATTACTTTATTTTAAGTAATAAAATAATTTCTGAGATCATGATATGTACTGAGCACAGGGTTGCTGCAGGTCAAAAAAAAGCCTGAAAATGTCTCAAAGTTTGAAAATGAACGTATTTTAAGAGAAATACTGTAGTTGTTAAATGTTCAGTCGTTTTTACAGCTGGCAAAAAAAAAAAAGAAAAATCAATGTATAGCGCTTTACTAGTCCCTAAGGACCTGAAAGCGCTTTACACATCCAGTCATTCACACACTGGTGATGGCAGCTACATTGTAGCCACAGCCACCCTGGGGCGCACTGACAGAGGCGAGGCTGCCGGACACTGGCGCCACCGGGCCCTCTGACCACCACCAGTAGGCAACGGGTGAAGTGTCTCAAAGACAGAGACTGTCCAAGCCGGAGCTCGAATCGGCAACCTTCCGATTACAAGGCGAACTCCCAACTCTTGAGCCACGATCGCCCCATGATGTGGGTTATAATGTGGGTTATTTTCTATATAATGTGAGTCATTTTCTATATCCATAGTTATTACAGTAATGTCACTTGCTCAGGTGACAGATGGATGTAGACACTGTGACTTCACCGATCGCTTTCTCCCCAGCACGCTAGCTCATTAAAACCACAGTGCCGGTAGATCTGACTTTAAAATCAAGGTCTGTTGCCTGTTTATATGGTATTGAACTATTATTTACAAAGTAGACATGTCTATGCTTTTTGTGCACTTCTCTGCGCTCTAATGTGGACCATAATGTGGACATGTTTCATTTAGTAAGACCTCGAGACCTTAAACTCATTCGAAAGATCGAAGGTGGTGAGGAGCTCCATACACCTGAAGTTATTCATGAAACCTACAGATGACGCTTAGTGGCTGTTAGAAGGAACTGAAGTTTAAAATGCCCCAGTTTTCTGAGCCATAAGTTAAGCCCATCTTTCAAATGCAGTCTATGACTGCTCCATTAGCAACTTCACAGTAGAGGCCCATGCACTTACGTTACACTACCTGTTAACTGATGTAAAGAAAAAAAATGAAAGTACAAATAGGAGAGACAACGAGAGAGGCAGCGGGAGTAATGTTCAATAACCATGAACAGCCTTCAGCTCCAAGAGTCTGTTTAGTTCCAGTTCAGTTAGTTTCACTTTAATGTCGTGTACCACCATAGTCCAAATAATATATGTAATTTCTTTTAATGTTGACCTTTTAATTGAGTTTAATCTAACTGAATGAGGGTGGAACAGTGGTGCGATGGTCAGCAGTGTCGCCTCACAGCAAGAAGGTCCTGGTTTCGAATGAATCAGCTGAATGGTGGTCTCTGTGTTATAGTGACAGACTAGAAGGTGCTCGAGTTGTACCCCGCCTCTCACATTATGACGCCTAGTATAGGCCCCACCCCCTCTGCAACCCTGAATTGGATAAGTGGAAGAAACTTGATGGAAACAGTTTATTTATTGATGTTTTACAAAGGTCATAGGAACCCCGGGGTTATTTTTTAAACAAAAAGAGTACTAAAGTTAGCCCTTGAGTGAGATGTATATAGGTTTTCTTCATATGTGCAATCCAGTTGTTTGCATATGAGAACACGTGTTTTTCATGCTTTTTTTTTTATTTTAATGTGAATGGCCTAAGGCAAACACAAACCTTTGCTGAGACAACAAGGCTGAGCTAAATCGAGCTCCTTTCTGTGAAAGCAGAAGAGGCTTCAGTAGCTCCTTTTAGACTTTGTGAAGAGATTGCATATTCCTGTGCCTCTGCCACATCAGCGGATAAGCCCAGCTGTGAGATGTATAGCTGGCTCTGTTATTAAGAATTAGACAGACGCACACTTCCCATGCTTGTTAAACGTTCGCTCGTCTGCTCTGAGTTTGCAGTTTGGCTATGAAAGAAAATCGTAAGCTTTGGGCTGTTTTTTGTCACACAGTATTTGTGGGTGTATGCAGAGGCTGTGGTATCTTTAGACGACTGCTGAGTAGTGGATAAGCCTCTGTGCTCGTTTAACCCTATATATAAGTCGCCATTTACACTCTAATACGTCAATATATATTTTTAGCATATATACATATATATATATATATATATGTATATATGTGTGTGTGTGTGTTTATTACTAAGGCTGTAATTCCTGTCCTGATTCTGCCATTTCATCTCAATTTTTTTGTTAGGTGACTCAGTTACTGCTGAGCAGTAATATGGTTGCAGCCCTGTTAGAAGGAGAACGAGGAAACGGCAGCCTGGACTCTCCCTCCACCACCCCACTCCACCTAGCAGCCAGAAATGGACACAAAGACATCATCAAGTAAACAGCAGCTCAGAGTGGCATTAAATGTTAAACATTATGATACAGTATCATGTAACACAGTGGATTCTGGATTCAATATCCAGGCATTGCTTTTCCTTTGATTGACAGTCTGAGCATCTGCGTTCACAGCCAGCATTTGCACACTGTTGTAGTTCAGCCCTTAAAATTGAAAAAATGAACTCTTAATTTTCAAAGGAATATAAAATACGTATAGTATGCACGAATAGTTTAGCTACGAAGTTGTTGTTGAACTGATACTTATGCCCACTAGTTAAAGAACTAGTATTTACAGTCATGGGAAATAGAAAGCAGGCCCACTGCAGGCAAAAACACACCATTAAGTACGCTACAGGAGATTCGCGCCCTGAATCATTCCAACGAATGTCACTAGAACAATTGCTAGCTGCACTCCACATGACAGGAAGTGCAAACAGGGGATGGGAATTACCGATGCAGCTACACAGCTGGTTTAAAAGCTTGAGCCCAAGTAGAAAATATTTTATTAGGCGACTAGATGACTAATTGTCAATATTGTCACTAGTCAGTACCAGGCACACTAGTCATTTAATCTAATTGTTTCACATTTTAATTGATGCCCAATTCTGATGGAGCAGTTTTCTGCTGGAGCATCGTTGTAGAGAAAGGCCATAAAAGTGTTGATCTCTGTCTCTTTTTTTTGTTAACTCTATTATTGTTAGTTCTTTAAAAGGCCAAGAATAAGACTGCAGATACAAGTGGCAGAAATACTTTTTCCGAAGGGTGGATGGACTCTTCCTCAACACAGGGTGAGCCAATCAGTCATTCAGGAAGGGCTCAGAGTAGACCTGCTACTCCTCCACGTTGAAGGAGCCAGCTGTTTGCCTCCTGGGTAAGGTGTTCCAGCCAGGATTGTCCTACTGGAAGGAGGACGCGGGGCAGACCTAGCACACGCTGGAGAGATTATATCTCTCAGCTGGCTTGAGAATGCACCGACATTTCCCCAGATAAACTGGAGGAGCTGGCTGGGTTGAGGGAAGTCTTCCCCCGCTTCTGCTACTGCCCCAAGACCTCACTTTGGATAATCAAAAGAAAAAAACTACCTAAACTACTTTTGCACTTATGCTGTGCAAAAGAATAGAACTTTATTAATCCCTTGGGGAGGTCCCCTAAAGGAAATAATAAAACTACTGTCACTACTATTGTACTATAATTCTGCTGCTGCTGGCATCATTTTAAAAAAAGGATGCAAAATGACCTTCACCTTATAAATGCTGCTGCTTTAACATGGTGTTTATTGTAGGCAAACTGTAATGGGTAAACTTAACACAGAAGTCCAATAACAGAACACCACTTGAGTTCAGATTAGACTGACCAGTCCTGCCAGTCACGCCCCTCCAGATTTCACTGGCCTCCACGTGAGCGGTAAAGTCTCCCAGTGGAGTGACATTCTCTGACCTGAAGGGTAGGGAAGCAACCCTCTTATCGCTTAAAATGCTGTTATTGCAGTCATATCCTCTCTGTGAATGGTACTCATAGCCAGTGATCAGTGGTCATGACATTTTGGATATTAACAATCATGAAACTGACCTCACGGCCCATTGTTAAGCAATGGTGCTAGCTCAGATGAGTGACAAAACGCTTCTCCCACTGAAAGCGCTATGTCCAAATGAACAGAATCAACTTTCTGGGATTTCTTTACGTGGATGTTTGAGCATGTGTCAAGACTGAACAAGAACTGTTACCATTTGAATTAATTCTGTAACTTTGTAACAATCTGTCCAGCACCAAAAAGAAAACATTGTACTATGAGGTTTAATCCCAATCGACTTTGTACTTTCAGCCTGTTTCAGCCTAAAAATGTCTTTGCCATGTAATCCCATCCCGCTGTTTTAGACATGCTGCCAACTATTCCCATCCCGTCTAAATTATTAAATATCTCATGCAACACCATCCATCTCCCCCTCTCCTGGAGTTGAAAGTGAATACTTAGTAATAAGTCCGTACAACATCATACCGCCCGTGATAATACTGGTGGAAGTTTGTGCATGATACAAAAATGTCATACTGCGATATCCTTGGTAGCAGAGAAGCCTATGCTCAACACAAACATGAACTGAAAAATAACACACACACACACTCCTACACTTCACTGACAACCACATAAGTTTATTCAGAATTTACACAGCAGAATTTGGAATATGATACTAAGGGATTTATGGCACTTCAAAGACTGCCATACCTAAGCTGCAAATGTATTTGTAACTTCTCCCTTTTTGCAATAACTGGAGGAGCTTTATGCAAACAGGATATGACTTTGTGCCTGGAAAGATGGGAACTTTCTGTTGTTTTAGTACCATATACATCTGCCTGTGTTAGAAACTACGCTTTAGCAATTCATTCAGAGATCATTTCTGATCATGACACCTCATGTTCAGAATCTTTGCTCTGGCACATTCTGTACTTGGTGAACATGTACAGTGTAAATTGAATGGAGTATCTGAGAATAACATTTCTATGGAGGACAGAAAAGTCTAAACTCTGTGAAAGTTTTCAGACATTCAGCCCTCTCAAGATTTCATACCATCAAGGTTAAAAGTGGTGCAAGAAGATTACAATAGGAACCTTTTATCCTCACAAATTACAACTTGGTATTTCTCCTGTCAGTACTATCTGCAGCATTTGGTTTAAAAACTCTACACTCACAAGGAAATGTTTTAAATTATTTTTAATAAGCTGTTAGATAATTATTTAAGGTTCTATTCATTAAAACATTTCATGAATGTTCTTAAAGTATGTGATGAAAAAAAAAGATCAAAAATAAAATAATTTTGTTACTGCACCTTTATTCCATATTCCATAAATGGCTACTTTTGATAGAATAATTACAAACATTTTTTGCTCATAAGTTGCAACTTTTTTTAGTTTAAAGGACTGTGTTCAGTCTTGCAAAAAGCTAAGCAGTAATGGTGAGGATAAGAGAATAAGTAGCAGCCAGGTGCTGCTACTCAAATGCACTTGTTTAATTGATCATCAGGAGGTGTCACCAAAACAAAAATACCACAGTCTTCCCAGGAGTGGGAGCAAATTTACCCTAAGGTTCCCTAATGGTCAGAGAAACTGCAAAAGATGTACTCTTAGACACTACCGGCCTCAGTTAGCATGCTAAATATTAAAGTTCATGATAGTACAGTTAAACTGAACAAGAAGGACTCGTATGGAAGGGTTGTCATGCCAACCCATGCCCTCTGTATACCAAATTTTTCTAGAGTCAAAGTTCAGACCTCAAACCAATTGAGATGCTGTAGGTGGAGTAAAATGTGTGGCCTAAGCACACAGAACAGCTGAAAACAAAAACAGAAACAAAAAAGAATCGAGGTTTTGCCATGACCCAGTTAAAGTCCAGACGTCAACCCAATTAAATTTGCAATTGCTGACTGTGACTATATGACTTCATAAATTGCTGCAGATGTCTGTGACAGATTCACCTGCACACTAACACGGTGTTTCTGATTGGACTTCCTAGGTTGCTCCTCAAAGCTGGCATTGACATTAACAGAGCCACCAAAGCGGGGACGTCTTTGCACGAGGCTGCCCTCTATGGCAAAACGGATGTAGTACGGCTGCTCCTTGACGTAAGGAAAGAAGAGAAACATTGTATCTGTTAGTCTTATGAGTCATGTGGAAGGCTGTTTTTTTTACAACAAGTGTCAACATAAAGACTCTTCACAGAAACATCACACTATGTTTTCACCTGCTCAGTATTATTCTTTAATAAAGCAGATTGGAATTTAAGGGAGGGTTTGTTTTTAAAAGTCCGACTCCCACGTAGCCGTTTTACGATCTGTATGTGTGTGTGTGTCTAGGCGGGCATCAACGTGAACATGCGCAACACCTACAACCAGACGGCTTTGGACATTGTCAATCAGTTCACCACTTCCACAGCCAGCAGGGAAATCAAACAGCTGCTGAGAGGTCGGTAGCTCATGAAATGGTGTCTTGATGTTGCACTGATACATTTGGGTAATTTGGCTTCTCTGGTTTAGAAATGTGATCAGGTGTCTTTTTCTTTCTTTCTTTCTTTTTTTTTTTGCAGAAGCATCAAGCTCCCTTCAAGTTAGAGCAGTGAAGGACTACTGGAATCTCCATGATCCCACTGCACTTAACCTGCGGGCGGGAGATCTGATCATGGTACTGTTTTGTGTGTAAAAGTCTCAAAATGTTGTTTTATGGTTGTCATATTGTTTTTGTTCATTATTTTCATTGTCCTTGTTTATAGAAAAATGTAATTAAATGAAATTAATTTGAAAATCCCTAATATCACATTTAAAACAGTCATTATTATTCATTGCCTGAGAAAATTATGAAAGGAGAAGATTTCCTTATTTAATGAATTTAAAAACCTACTGAACAAAAATGTAACCGACATTTGTTTTTATCAATCAGTAGCAGCAGTTTTTGTTTGGTAAGATTTTGCAAATTGTTTAAAGAAGAGAAGTTTAATCATTTATTTTATTCTAAAAATTTCAAGAAAAGTGTTTTTTTGTTTGTATATGCTGACATATATAATTCTTACAAAGAAGAGTCAACACAAACATCGGAATCGGCTTGATTGAGATGAGAAAATGAGATGAATTTGTTAGGTGAAGTTATAGTGAAGCCTTGTTGTTAGGATTTGTGTGGTATGTTTCAGGGTAATTTCATGTACTCCAAAGCAGGAGACCACAGCAGAGGAACAGGCACAAACTTGCTGCTGCTGTGTCTCTCATTATCAGCATCATTATCACAGTTTGCTCTAATTCGTGTGTTAATGTCTTTATGTGCTCTCTGCTGTGTATTTTGATATATTTATGTGAGTCATAGTGACATCTGAGAGTTGTGTTTGAACTTGTATGCTGTTGTCTCTTACTCTGCCAGAAAGCAGAGGTGTTTGTTTTTCTTCTCTCGAGGCGCTTTGCTAATACTCACAATGAATAGATAGTGTATTTCCAGCCTACTGGCCCACTCATTATGGACTTAAGTGCATGCCTGTGGGTGTCGCAAACAACATGCATGCTTAAAGCTATTGTATTTTTGCTAACACATAGCATTTTTTTGTTTTAATCAACGCCCATAGTGTTCTTATAACTGTATCAATTGCTGGGACTGTGAAGTATACCAAGACTAATGCCATTTGTAATGAAGTGTTCTCATGGCTTCTTGCTGACAGGTCCTGGAGCAGCACTCAGACGGCCGGTGGAAAGGTCACATCCATGACACCCAGCGGGGGACAGACCGGGTGGGCTTTTTCCCCCCTTCAGTGGTGGAGGTCCTCAGCAAAAGAGCAGGTAAATAAATAGCTTATTCACACCTGCATAAACATCAGTTAGCTTATTAATAATTAACATTAATACACTCCAGAATATTTATGCAAGTATTATAGTTGTGCTCCTCTCAGTAGTTGTAGAGTTATCCAGTTAGCAAGACGGTGAACAGAGAGGACGGCACCTTGGTTTGCATCTTCAGTTTACAGTGGCATACTTTGAATTTTGTGTACATGGCAACCTGTATCCAGTCCAGTCCAACTCAATACATGCCATTGCCACAAGGTTTGCTGTGTCTCTTTGCTGGGATATTATTTTCAATCCATCCAACGCCGCCAGGTTGCACCTCAGATGGTCCAGGAGCTCAGTGATGCTTTGGTCCACATCTGGGAGGAGATCCTCTAGAACACTAAGCTATCCTATGTGCTTAAATGGATGCTTAACAACATCTGGATAATCATTTTCATTTGAATTCAATTTCAATTCAGTTCAATTTAGTTTTATTTATACAGCGCCTGTTTGGCGACAGTGGACAGGAAAACCTCCCTTTTAACAAGAACATTTCCATCAAACTATGTGCCATCCCTTAATTGCTAACACATTACCCATTTCATATCAGTGTAGACATACAGCATGATTTTCTTTCACTGTTGAGAGCTGATGTGTTTTCAGAGTATTCCTTTAATTTTTTTGAACAGTGTACATGTGCACTGTACAATTTCACATGAAATACCAAGCCTAACTTTTTCATTTAATTTGTGTCATTTCAATAGAAATTCCCAATAGTTTTACAAAATGTTAAACAAACAAACAAACAAACAAACAAACAAACAAACCCCAGTGAACTAAAACATACTAAAAGGGCTCAGAAATACTGCTGAGAAATAAGAGGACGTGCCAGATCTCATATTCATATAATTATCTGAGACATGAAAATATCTGTCAAGTTTCATATTTATTTATTTGTTTACTTGTTTATTTTTGTAGTCCTGAAGTACCACCAGCCTGGGCAAACACATTTATAGTGGACATGAATTCAGACAACTGTATTTTGGTGTTGATAACACCTAATTTGACCCATGACGACTCTTATATATCTGGGCTACCAAAATATCTCCACACTTGTACACGAGCAGGATCTATCATGTTTGCAGACATGGCCGCTGGAGAATTCAGCATGCTTGTAAATCAACAAATTTAATCCCTGTGAATATGAGCTCCTCACTTGTTTGCAGCTGTAAAACCCCTGACTTTCTAGCACAGAGAGACCAGCACAGTCAGGGCTCCAAAAACAGCTCCAGACATGAGTGCACACTTCTGTGTCTTCAACAAGCCAGTCTACACACTTACGCACACACACACACACACGACAGTCTCACAGAGAAACACATTAATAGGATTACTATGGCCAGATTGCAAAGTGTCAGCTCAGTGTTAAAGCCTTCACAGCCTACATCGGGGTATTCTGTGTGTGGGCGTGTGTGTGTGAGACTGCTCATGCTTGAGGAAAGAGACGAAAGAAGAGAGTTCGCCTCAAAGTTGGTGATGGGCTCTTTGCTTATGAGGCAAACTCAGCAGGTTGTGTGCACATGTGCAATAGTGTGTCTGAGCTCTGTGATAATGTCAGTGATGTCAGCAAACAGAGACCAATACCACACTAAGGAACAGTAAGCCTTCTCAGTGTCTTTGGTGATCTTAAACTTCCATTCAGCAGCCTGTTATGTAACTGTAGAGGGGATTTACAGTCAGTCTGTCTGTTTTTAGCTGTTGTTCCATCCACTCAATGAAAAAGAATACATGACGGAGACAAATGTTAAAGTTGATGATATTCATAGCTCTTCATTGCATGGTTAAAGAGCTTTCAATGCCTGTGCATGCATTTCAAACTGCCACCGAACACGCATGTGCATTATCTGCTTTCCCTCACTCATGCATGTCCACCTCAAACCAAACCTGTCTCCCTGGCCGTAGGAGGCACGCTCTTCCGCCAAGCTTCAATGCCTTGCAAACGACAACACTTTGTGTCCGGAGCTCCTCCTTCGAGTCACGGCCCTGCCCCTCAGACTGATGACTTATACATCCTTGGCTATGACCCTGCAGGTACACACACAGATGCACTCACCAACCTTTTCCCTGTTTTACCACCTGCGGTGGATTCACGTTATCCCAGGCAAGGCAAGGATTGTTGGACAGGAATGTTTCTGTCCATATGCTCCCAAACAGCACCCCAATCCCAGTTTTTTCTTGATGAAAAAACTTTCCCTGATGCTGTGTCAGCTTGATAGATCCAGTCCCAGCTGCGGTTCTGCAGTAGGCAGAGTGTACCGTGAACGTTTGTCTAAAGTGTGTGTGTTTATTAGGTGCTCCATTGGGCAGTCAGCTCTCAACCCCAGCTAGTTCTGCTAGCCCCACTCAGGAAATCTGGGTCCTCAGGAGCTCTCCCACTGGTAAGAGTGTGTGGTCCTAAACCCCTAATACCCCACCCACCGAAACCCCAATCGCCGGTGAACCTGTAGACCAGTCAAGTCACCACATTTTTGATAAACTGGGTCTTTTTAAAGAAGCTTATTCCTGTTTTATCCTTTTATATACCAGAGTTTTGACCTTACCATGCTAACCCTTCAAATCCCACCCCTCTGCTTTATACACATCTAACAATCCAGCAACCATAACCAGTTCTCTTGCAGCAGGACATTACTATGAGGGAGCAGCATGAAGGTCTCTTTTTAAGTTCTTCTTTTAAGCATGTTGGAGCTTCCTCTTATTCTCTGAAAATCTCCGCAAACATATTAATGTTTTTCTTCTACTATGTAATATATATTCAGTTATTTCCTGAACAGAGAGAATGTCGATTCCACTAAAACATAATGTTTTAATAATTTCATAAACGTTGAAAATTCTTTACATACATAAGAAGCTTGATATTAGCATCTTTTTGTTAAATATGGAGCTAGTGGCAGAGCGTGATTAGCCTTGCTTAGCATAAAACAACTTACTAACAAACACCTTGCATCGATTCAATCTGTATGGTGAGGCAATAAATCCTTCAGTAATAAATAGGACTTAATAGTTTTTATGTATTTATTTATTTACTTATTTTTAGTACAGTAGGCAGCACATTTAAATATATAACCTAGAAACTGCCGGCTACAATTGTCTCCTAACTCAGACACTCCACAGGTCTCCTGTCAGTCTGTCATCTCTCTCTGTTTTGCTTTCTTTGCTCTTCTCAGGTGACAGAAACAGTGTCGGCAGCGCTGGCAGTGTTGGTAGCAGCCGCAGTGCAGGGAGTGGTCAGAGCTCAGAGAGCGGCCACAAACAGAATGGGATTCATTGCTGCCACAACAATGACACTGGCAAGGTCAGATATGCACAGAGACAACCAAGGTGGACACTAAAAAACAAGGAGATGCTCTGCTTCATATGTCGACAGCAGACATTTTCACTAATAGTAACAGAAATGAATAAAGTGTGGAGGATGTCAGTAATGCACTAAAGTACTTTTCTCTATCGTTGAGTATGCCTTTGTTTTGTGTGTGCAGCTGGCTCCCTCTGCTGGCGAATCAAGGGACCGCGTTATAGGAGTGGACCACAGCAAACAGGTTGATGGATCCACAGGTTAGTCACCGAATGAAACATCTGTCATCTTCTTACTCTGTTTGACAAAAATAATAATTCTGTTAGCTGTGATTCTTCCAAGGTCCCAGACTTTCTGAAGGTCTTTCAGTTTTTCTTTTGCGGGTTGGCTGCTTTTTCAGTCCAGTTGTTTTACCTGACCTTTTAAATGGCAGATGGTAAATGGACTGATTCTTATAGAGCGCTTTTCTACTCTCCCGGAGTACTCAAAGCGCTGTATGCAACATGCCACATTCACCCAATCACACCCATTCTCACGAGCACTTTCTCTATACATAGTGCTTTCTAGGTACATTCACACGATAGATGCATCAGAGAGCAACCTGGGGTTAGTATCTTGCCCAAGGATACTTGACGTGCAGACTGGAGGAGCCAGGGATCGAACCACCAACCTTCTGATCAGTAGATCGGGGGTGGCTCTACCTCCTGAGCTACAGCCACCCGATTCTTCTTTTACAGAAGAATGTTTTTTTGTTTCTTTATCTACTTAATACTGGCCTATGAATCTTTCAACCATAAAAGGGTTGTATCTTTAGAAACCACGGGGCTGCTGTGTGCAGGGATCATAGAGCATTGTTCTGCTGTTTTTGTTGATGGTCTGAAAGGAAATGAGATGGAGGGGGACAGTAAATGCTTACCATACTTTACTTCACCACTGAAGCCAATAAAACCAGCATCTTCTTTCATCTACACAAGCCATAAAAGCCCAGATCACTACTTCACAAGAAACACTAAAGGCCTGGAGAAATGTGCTCTGCTGTCAGGTATAATGGCAGGTGCAGGATTGCATGTTTACAGTATTTTCAGAACTTAAGTTCATTCTGCTGAGATAAGGCTTTTCAAATGTTAACACTCGAAGAAGCAGAGAATTCCTGTTGACCTCAGGGTGAATCGGAAGGGGGGTTAAAGTGCAGGAGAAGAGGGAGGAGACAGGGAGCATCAGGAGCAAAACACAGCTGTTAAATGCCTGAGAAAGAGGAAAGAAGACAGGGAAGAGGAGCTGATGTCTGCCCTGCACGAAGGAAAGGTGGAGGGAAGGATGAAGTGTGAGACATCAGGAGCTCTCCGGCTCTCATTTTTTCTCAGGGGTAAGACCGTTGTTATAATTTGACATGATGTTTGACGTTTTGTCAGAGGAGAAAGGGTTCGATCCTGTTTTAAAGGACCCACTGCATTCCAAATTTTTGGTTAATATTTCATTGGGAATCACCTTATTGGTGCAGAAATATAATTTTATGCCTGCCAAACTTTGTTATCTTCGACATTTTTGATAGATTCAGCTAAAGAAATGGGAAAGAAATTGTGTTTTTGCCACAGACTGATAGTTATTGTCAATATTTCAACCTTTCTTTCTTTGCTTGTTGTCTGTTGTGTGCAGATAAAAGATAAATAAATAATAAGATGAAAAACTGTTTTACATTTTATCATTGAGTTAGGTTCCTCTTATGCTGTACTTGAATGAGTCGTGGTCAGACTTAAGTGGCTTAAAAAATCAAACAGTTGGAAATAGTTGGGTGCAAAGACTGGAAAACACGTGAAAGCCCTTCAGGAAGCCTGGAGATGCCAATCTTGCTTATGGGTTAAGGACCTACAGCCCTGTCTATCTCTCCTACAGTGACTGCCCGTCTGCTGTAATCTCCTCCATGCTCTTGAGGCTATGCCGGGAGAGACAGCAAACCTTCTGGCAATAGCATGTATTGAGTTGGACTACCTGCACAACCTCTATTCCTATCCAAATGCAAAACTAGTGAAAAACAGTCAGAAAAGCTGAGGAGAGAAAAAAATGTCAGTTGCCTCCACCTTTAAAACCATTCTTGATTTGATGGGTGATCACTAACCTAGAAATGTAACTGACTGTATTTGAATTGTAGTTGTACTTTTCCACAGTACAATTACACAAATTCCTCATCTCTTTCCATCTTGTACAAAGAGCATGTCGCAAGAAGCACGACTGCGTTGTTTTGATGGGTGATTATCATGCTGAATAAGTTAACTCATCTCCCAGGAACATCTTGACAGTGCAGTGTCTTATATTACTTATTGCCCTGTTACAAGGTGTATCTGTGTGTCTGTAAGAGGTCTTAAATAAAAGTTATTGAGAACTGAAAAGATCAAATGTTGTTGTGAGAAAGGACTAGAAGAGCGGGGGGGAAAAAGACTCAGCCTTGGGCAAGAAGAGAAGTGAAATTGGAGCAGTTGGCAACAAAGTATCGTTCCTCTGAGATCTGAGTATATAATGACTGTAAATAAGATGAGTGAGGGGTGTGTGAGATCTGGTAGATGGCACAGCTTCACTCACCCGGAGAGACGTGACAGCCCCACTCAGTTACACAGCTGCTTGGAAAAGAACGATTTAACATGACTCAACTAATGCAGACCGGATTGATCTCTTGCTGTCACAAAGCAGAATCTTGTTACTTTGAAAACATGGCTGTCTTTTTGGGTTCGTCTTGTTTTTCCTCCAGTGTCTGTCTTCCTCCACGCACTCATCGCGAAACACATCCCACAGGATTAATTGTGTGTGTTTTTTAGGTGGTTCCCGCCAACAGGTTAACGGCACTCCTCAGAAAGGCTTTGTGAGGCCTGAACAGCTTTTGGAAGGCAAGGTGAGCTGAGTTTTAGAGTTGTGCAAGTTTGCGTAAATGTTTCCTACACACAGAGGTTTTGGGAATGAATCTCCTCTCTGTCGTTAGGATTCAGAAGCTATCTACCAGTGGCTGTGTGGGTTCCAGCTCGAGCAGTACACGTCCAGCTTCATCAGTGCAGGATACGATGTACCCACCATCAGCAGAATGACCCCCGAGGTGTGTATTTATGTTACAATTTTCAGCATTTTTAGCTCTATGCCGTTAGACTTTTCTTTGTTCTTTGTACATTTAAGATGTGTTTGTTTTTTGCTTCTTCTTTTTTTACATAAAACCTTGGGATGACTGTTTTGTGAAGTGATATGAAAATGAATTGGTTCCATTTCAGCCTGAAACCCTCTGAGGCTGATATGTATGTTTAAAAAAAAGTTTAAGAAGTCCATTGAAAACTTGACATGACTGTAACTAAAGCACTCTTTTTTTACAGATGAAAAAAATGATTTCTCTTGGCTAAAGTACAGTTATTTAATTGATTTGTTGTTGATTCTTTCATTTGTTGGTTATGTTAATGATTCACTCATTATTTGTGTGGATATTCTTCAGGATCTTACAGCTATCGGAGTGACCAAACCAGGCCACAGGAAGAAGATATCGATGGAGATTAGCAAGCTGAGCATTCCTGAGTGGCTCCCAGATTACATTCCTGTGAGAAATCAGTCCTCCCTCTTATTTGCCATATACATCACGTAAACAGCTGGCTCTCTTGCAGCCATTGTAAAAGTTTGTCTGTGTTGTCGTGTTCAGTCGGACCTGGGGGAATGGCTGAGTGTGATTGGATTGCCTCAGTACCAGAAAAGATTGTCTGACAATGGCTATGACTCCATTGCCATTGTCAAGGACATCACCTGGGAGGACCTGCAGGAGATAGGCATTACTAAACTGGGTGAGGAATTTCTATAATTTTTTATAATAACTTCTCTGATCGGTGACTGGTCCGGGGTGTACTCTGCCTCATAGGCTTTGAAATTGAATCTTTTGTGTGCTGTGACTGCTTGTGACATTGTCAAAGCACAGAAGGGGCAGTATTTGGAAATGTTTGATCACTTTTATTAAATCTTTTTGAGCTCTGTAATAAATAAATAAATCTGTGTGTTTCAGGTCATCAGAAGAAACTAATGTTAGCAGTGAAGAGACTGTGTGACCTGCATCGCTCTCGTAACCATGCCGACAGAACCGGAGGCGAAACTCTCAGACGAAAGCTGCCTGCTGCTCTCGAGCTGGTGGTTATCGAACACACGCCGACACACAATGCTCAGGCACACGCTGACACTCCATCCAATGACTGTTGCTCCTCCCCTCGTACTCCCAGAGCCCTCCTTTCCTTTCAGGACAGCGAGCTAAGCGTGGAGCTACAGAGTGCAATGATGGGAAAGGCGGGTGGAGGTCCCGCTGAGATGTTCAGCATTAAAGGTGTGTCCTCTGCTGCAGGTGGGACTGCCATGTCAGTCAGTCAAGAGAGCATTGGCATGCGTTCGCGGGGCTCAGGGAAATCTGGGAACTCTGGAAATGTAAATTTGGCTCATTGTCAGGATCAGCAGGCCGTACTGTCTTCAGCCAGGACATCGAGCCGGTCTGAGGAGAGTTTAAGTAGTGGTGCAGGGGAGGAGGTGAAGAGTGGAAGAAGCAGTCCTGGAGGCAGAAGTAGACAGAGACCCAGTGAGTCATGGGTGCATCAGAGTCAATCTGCTATCCCAAATAAAATCCCCTTCTCCCCTCTCACACCTCCACTGACCCCCAGCAAGATGCCCCGTTTTGCCTACCCAGCTGTCCCACCTAAAGCCAAACACTTCCAGTCTCCTAACCGCCCTTATCAGCCTCAACAACACCCACAGCAACACCCACCCTCCTCCCCATCTTCACCATCCCCGCAAGCTTCCCCGACACAGAAGGCTTTCAGTTATATCCAAGCTCAAGCAGAAGTAGTCAGTGGGGCTCCACGACTACTTTCCAAGCCACTGCCTGGGGCTGTCCCGCTGCTGGGGCCCTTACTTGTACAGGGCCCAGCCAATGAAACTCAAAAAGGCCCACAAAAGAAGCGCTCGCAAAGCCTGAATCGCTATGCTCTGTCAGATGGTGAGCCAGATGAAGACGACAATCCCACTTCCCCTTGTACCTCTGCTTCCTCTGCGGTCATGCCATCTTATGCCACCATGTCACGCAGGCCGGGACGTGGCCATGCAAGTCCTCTAGGGGCCCAACGTCACATCAACCGTAGCCACTCCTTTGCTGTGCGCTCTCGACGCAAAGGTCCGCCTCCACCCCCACCTAAGAGGATGAGCTCGGTAAACGACACCCGTGTGTGTCAACCAGGAAACCACCAAGGAGTGGAGCCAGAGGTGACGGAAGGGGTAGAGATGGAGAGTGCAGGCAGTGTGAGGAGTATCGCAGCCAGGCTTGAAGGCAGCAGCAGCAGTAGCCCATCTAGAAGAATAGATATACCACCAGCCCACCTCCCTGTTTCACCTGCATTCAGCCCTGTTTCCTCACCGATCCCACGTGGATTTCCTTCTCACACCATCACTCAGCACTCCAAACCTGTCCCAGCCTTGGGTCTCGGGGGCCTTAGGAGGGTAGGAAATGAAAGGACAGAAGGAGACTTCAATAGACAAAGAGGTAGAAGTACAGAGAGAGACTCTGGTGAGGAAGTGAAAGCAAAGAAAACTGAACACATATCAAAGAGTGCTGCTGCATCTCCCAAGCACAGGTCCAAGGACCATCTACCGTTTGCTGAAGAAGGCAACCTGACTATCAAACAGCGACCCAGGATAGCAGTCGTTAGTCAGCCGGGTGCTGAAGTTAAAACTCCTTCAGAGGCGGTGCAGACCCCAAACAGCCTTGAACTCCCAGAGTTCAATCTAAAGGAGTCTGACACGGTGAAAAGACGGCACAAACCCAAAGACAAAGACGCGTCCACTCCTGAAGAGGTTAGCACCCCACACAGAAACAACAAGCACCCAGAACCCAACAGCCTCCACACGCAAAATGACATCAGTACACTGAGTGACGATGAAGCTCAGAGGCCACACAATGTTTTCCAGAGGATAGGATCAATGGGCAAAGGCCCAAAGCCTCCAGTGTCCTCAAAACCTCCCAGTCCCCTGAAACAAACCCCCAACAGCAAACCAACAACTCCTCAAAAAACTGTTTCGCCATTGCAACCAAGTGGACAAACAGCCATCCCTAACCTCACGAGCGTACAGATTCACACAGTCTCCCCAAAGCTGAAAAGCAACATGTACATTCAGACTTGTATGTCCAGTCCAAAACCTGTGAAACACAGACAGACCTTCACGTCCGAACCTGGGAGTCCACAGAAAGCCGTCGCTGTGTCAAGACTCCCTCAGAACACCTATGCAGCAACAGCAGGTAACAATGAAAAGAAGATATAGTACCAACACGGCCATCAGTGACCCATCTAGGGTCAAGCTTGGCTTTTGTTTTAGCCACATGTTGAGTAAGCACATTTTCAAATCCACTCTTTCAGATTAATTTTGGCATGACGGTTTTATTGTTAAAGCTTTTAAAGTTGCTATAAAAATGGCTGGTTACATAATCCAGTCCCTACACCAATTCTAGATGGGCGACCAGTGATCTGGTGGATGTTAAGAGGTTAAACTTGTTTCCTAACAGCGAGCTTCTTTTTGATGGTTACATAATATTTATTGTTCCTCAGGTCCGAATCTCAGCATGGCTCAAAGTGTTGCCTTTGCTGCTCCACCGTCACCATTGCTGAACTCTTGCTGCCCACCCTCGGCACTACCCAGTCAGCCAGGAAAAGGATGGGTAACTCCGCCTGGTGTGGCCAGTGTGGAGATGCTGGCCCAGAAGAAACTAGAGCAAACTAGTACATCACTGGAAGCTGCTCTCAAAGTAGTGGAGACCAAACTGGCACAGGGGAGCAATGTGGACGGGTAAGAAGTATTGTATTGGTGTAGTTGGGGTGGTGTGCTTTACCTGGAATGATAATATTGTGCTCTTCATACTGATTGCTGAGCTGTGGTACCGCGGTAACCGTTGGTTTGCACTGGTTGTTTGAACTGTTCCTTGTGAACATGCAGCAGATCTGACAGATCAGCTGCTGGGCTGTAACTAAAGTCCCAGTAAGGTGACAAATGTTCAAGAGCTTCCATTCCTGCAGTGATTTGTGACTTACTCATTGACAGTGGGATGAAAGTACTGGGAAAAATCAGCAGATTAGTCAAGTGCTGTCGAGAGCACAACGAGCTAAATTTTGTTGTAAATGCTGTTAACTAGTGAGGACACCGTCTACAAGCTTTAGAGCTTGTAGACGGTGTCCTCACTAGTTTGCTGTTGTCAGTTTATATAACCTGTGGAAAACTTGAAATCATGAATCTCCAAAGAAAAAAAACAAAACAAAATTTATTTTTCAGTTTTTCTTTTGTCTTCTTTGTTTTAGCACCTGCCCTCTTTTTGGGGACATGTAAGCGTTTTTCAAGTTTCTAAAATTGAGAGAAGGCCAAATGTTATCACTGATAGAAACATGTAGTCTCAGTGTAGTTGGCACTGCACTGCTCATGCTAACTCTAAATTTAGCAACAGGGAAAATGCCAAAAACATCTGCAGAATTCAGTGAAGGTCCTCGAGCATTAACTTTGTCCTTTGTTTAGTTCTCTAGTTATTTGTTGCTCCACACTGATGAAAAGAGAGGTTACTAGAGTAAACCTGGTTCTCTTTCAAACCTCGCTTGGTATTCCACTTTGGAAAGCGCCCTTTGGCATGACCCCCTTTATAACAGCCCTTGGACCCATACCCAAAGTAGTTCTTCCTGATGTCCATGCAAATGGGCGCTGCAATGAGCCAAACTCAGTTTGCAAGGTTATGATAGTAGCCAAGGTTGTCTGTCAAACCTCTCTTGGTAGCTCACTATGGTAGATGTAGACCCCTCTGAGATTGCATGGTCCAAACACTATAACTTCTCCACCCAGGAAGAGCACCACCTCACACAAATTTAAGAGCCCACAGTAAGCACTGAGTGTGCCAGTGAAGGTTAATGTTAAGGCAGTAAAACCTAACAGATGTATGTAGAAATTTCCAACTAGCAGCTGCACAGATGCTCCTGCCAAGAAACACCCTTAAAAAGGGCCCATGAGGTAGAATGTGCGCGCAGGTGCGCAGGAGGTTGCTATCCCTGGCATTCATATGCCATCACAATATCGTCTACCACCCACTGTGACAGCTGGTATAGGCTTCCCTATGTGCCAAGGAGCCTGGAACACAGAGAGCTGATTGCTTTTTACAATTCCCTTATTTCTGTCTACATAAATGCATAATTCTCAGACAGGCCACAGCGAATTAAGCCGCCTCTCGTTCTCATCAGCAGATGGCAGGGGCTTATAGCCTGAGAGCGAGGTAGCAATAGGTAGACTCCCTAACCTTAGGCACAGAGGCTGGGTTAAGGCGCAGAACCACTTTACTATAGTTGGGTTTATCTCTGAAGTACACACTATTTGCCATCATAAGGTCAGCATGTGGAAAGAAGTCTTACACCATGAGTGGTCTCAGTCAGCCTGAAAGGGAGACCAGACTCATTTAAATTTAGCCTTTCAAATGTCAGGCTGAGAAAATTAACTCAAATGCTGATGACAAATCTGTCTGCAAGGCCTAGTCACTGCATAAGGCAGTGGCCATGAATGATTGTGGAGCAGACAAGCTAGCTCCGCCATCCATGGCCAAGCTGTTTCAGTGCCTCACCCAGCTCAGTACTGAGGGCATGTGGCTGAGGAAATGAATACAGCAGCATTCCCGAGGGTCTAGTTTTAGCCATAATCACTAATACTCAGCCTTGAGAGCTAGCTATAGCTTCGCAAATACAAACACAAGCTTCCTTGACGTGCTAGCTTTGTTGCAGACCCACGTGTTATAATGTCACAACCGCTCGTAGAAGAATATATTTTCCACCTATTTATTCATCCATTCTCTTCTACTTATCCTTATCAGGGTCACGGGAAGCGTATCCCAGCAACCATGGGGTGAAAGGTGTTATACACCCTGGACACAACGCCAGTCTGACGCTAAATCTTGTGATGAAAATATTACAGTGTCATAAAATTCCTGAAACAAGCAAAGCTAATGTTTGAGGATCAGCAAACAGTTAAATGGATAATCCTGTTCCAGGACCGCCGAGGAGCTTTAGTGATCTTCACAGGAAAGAAAGCAAACATGCCTGATGTGGGGACAGGGGCTAAGATAGAAGGGGGGGACCCCATGTCCTTAAAGTGATTGGTCTGTTTTAGACAGACATGGTTGTAGTGGAGCTTCTGTGATTGTGCATGCCAGAGTGCTTGACTACAAGCTACACGATACCATGCATTCATATAGTGCTTTTTTCTCTATACAAACACTTTATCTCACATTCATAGCTGTTCGGAATCACCAGTTAATTTGACAGTTAGCTTAACTCTTTTCTTACTTCACATTGTCCCATCTGTTTTCTAGTGGGGCCACCACAGTGAAGGCAGCAGGCAATATTCTGGATGACATTGGCAACATGTTTGATGACCTGGCCGACCAACTGGACGCCATGTTGGAGTGACCTCCCAACTTCTGTCCTGCACGCAGAAAAAGTTTCTGTCTCAAGGGAGCAGCAGACAGAAATCCGAACAGTGAGCACGGGGTCAGAGGGAACCTTAGATGCTGGGAAGAACAGAGTGTGTGGAGCTCAGCACTTCCTGGGGTTTAAGATCAATCAGTTTGTGAATATTTGAGGACTTTCCTGCACAGCTTTTCCTCTGTTTTTGAGCACTTCGCCTTAGGACACACACCTGGGAAAGTTATTGGAGGGAGTACAAACAGCCGCCAGAAGAGCTTCCCCGATGTTGTTCAGTATCTTCAGTATCACTAAAAGGGAATAAGAGTCCATTGTATCCATGTAACCTGTGTATATACAGACACGTGTTTATGTGTGTAGTCAAATATCTTTATACTGAACATATTGACCTGTGATTATATTTATACTTATATATGTTGGGTTTTTTTAACCAAAAGAGTTCCTATTGGCTGCTTTAACCCTATTGTATATTAGCAAGATGATCTAATATGTATATTTTGCTGCTTATGGTCTGTAGCGTGGGGAAATGATTGTTTAATATAGGGAAAGAATCATATTTCATAAATGTACGATGGATTGGTGTGGACCTGTTTTAACACAAGTGTTTGTTGTTGTTGTTCTTTAAAGCACTGTTACTGTCAGTAAAAACAGATGCTTATCGGTTTTAAAGTTATTTAGTAACAGAGCTCATCTCAGGTTGGTATGGTACCGTCAGCATGCTGTTTCATTTCAGCAGTGGCCAAAACATTTCGTGGAAGGCAACATGTTAATGAACTCAGAGTGACTGAACATGGAGTCTTCATTTGCTGCCAAAATGTTTAATTGGCGTATTAACTGATAGTTATATATTTGATTATATATTTAAATGAACAAACTCGATGTGAATTTGACATCACATTTTTAAGAGGCTTTAAATTTTTTAGAACATTGTCTCTCCCATTTTAATTTCACAATCAGTCGTTTAGCATTTCCTGTTTCCATTTTTTTCGTTCAGTGTTAAATGTTGTTCCAGCAGTGTTCAGACTAAATCCCACAGAGGTTTTATGTGCCAGACTTCTGACAACATTTAGCAATTAGTTGCTTTTGTCTTACACTCTTATAGGTCTTTGAATACAGTATAGGCTCACAAAATATGTCACAAACACTCTGTGGCGGGGCAGGGGAGGGGCTGGCCCAAATGGTGGCTGAGCTGGTGGCCACACGGAGGGAGCAGGCGGCGGTGTCGCGCTGAGAAGTGGATGAACTGCAGGACCAGACCGAGTGCCGGATGCACGTGATTACGATTCTGGCGGCTCGGCTCAGTTCCTGGCCCACACAGTTGCCGGCGCACCACAGCTGTATGGGAGTGGCAGGTGTCCGATCTGCTCCGGTCCTCAGGGTGAGGCCAGCCAGGATGCCGTCTGCCTCCACACCCGTACCCACTCCTCAGGTGGAAGCAGCTGGTGCATGCTGGTGCCTGCACCCATTCCTGCTCCCCGGAGGAGGGCCGCTGAGCAACCTCCGCGTCCACCACCAGCTCACTCACCTGCTCAGCCGGGGCCGGAGAAACTGTTTGTTGTTAAAGAAGAAAATAGAAGACTTAGTTTGTGGGATCAAACTGGTTTGATTTGTAGAACTGAGTTGTAAATTGAGAAAATGATTACTTTGAGTTTTGCATCAGTTAAATTACTCTGGCATACTTCAGCCTCCGTAGCGAGCAGGGACCAGCCTCATAACTGTAAATAACCAGCAAAGTTTGATAAGAACTTCACTTTGGAGTTTTGTTCTTCGCTTGTTCCTGCTGCAGTGAAGACATTTGTCAGCAGATGCTAAATCTATTGTAGCACTGACAGTTACTCCTGTACCAATTCACTTTAAAATTCTCTTTTTAAAAAAAAGCTGTTGCATGACTCAATACTTCGCTTACCATCCAGTGGAATATCTGTTTTTGAGCCATTCTTTTTTTAATTGGGCTCTTTTACCTTCAGCCATCTTTAGGCTTCCTTCTTTTACTCCTCTGCACGCCTTCATTTTAAAAATGGAGTCGAATCTCTCTCCCAAACCTTTGCTGGGAAGATTTGGTTAATGGAAGCTGGCATGTTTTTACATTTTTTAAGATACCAAGCATGTTCACATTCATGCAACAGCTTTTTTCTCTGTGGTTTCGATCTTCTGTTTTGTTTATTAATGTTTCCTTCTGAATTCTGTGTCAAACCAGAAATAATTAAAGGGATTTGTACTGACCGGGTGCTGTTGTTTTGCTTGTCAATATAAAATATGCATTACTATTTCAAGATTTTTCATTTGTTTTGCCATTCTCATTCAGAGCTTTTGATGTGCCATATAGTTGATGCATACATTGTTTACAGTTTACAGCTGATCCATAACCTCCTCTCTATACATTTAGCAGCTTTTTGTGTTCAGTCACATCAAATGGCTTTAATTTGCATAAGATAATTGAAGGAATATGTAATATTTTTTTCTTTTGGGGCTGTAGAAGCAGCTGTAAGTACATCATCACCATAAAAAGTTGATATGGTGATAACAGTAATATAGTTTGGCTGTTAGCAATAAAGGGAGTGTGAACTTACAAGGCAGTTCACACAACAGTCACCTCATGTCCCTTTATATTGTTGGGTAAAGACACAATTATTACCACTGTTGTCTTTCTCCACCATTATGTTATTTTTCTGTGGCCAAGAGGCTTAATAAAACAAACAAAAACCCTGATTGGATATGATGGGAATCACCATGAAAAGGTTCATTATATGCATCATTTGACTCCTCTGCACAAAATGATCTCTGAGTTCTGCCTCCTCCAATCAGTGACTGAATCAGAGGATGTTGTTAGAATGGATTAAAAAGAATATCAAACAACAGAATAATGGGCAGTTAGGAATAAAAATAGATCATTGCAGCTCAGCTCACTGAGCAGTAAAATAAACACTTTATTTCAAATGAATCATTGAAACATTGAGTGTGCTTTTGTTGATGTTTAAGGTAATGGCTGCACATTAGAGCTCTGAAACTGGATACATTTAAACATTAAAGGTTATTGTCCCATAGCCTAATAGAGGCGGAGACATTGTTTTAGTTTATCGGCAAATCTAAACTATGTGTTTTTTTCCCCAGTAGATGCAATTTTAGCAGTTCAAAATAGACTTGGCAGAATATTCAAATCAAGTGCAAATACATTTATAGATTTTTTTGCACCACCAGCTAAATACATGCACATTCCAGTTCCAATGTTATGCACAGCTAGCATTTGCCCAAAGTCAAAGTTGACAACAGCGCCCTGTGACATCACTATGAGTCCATAACAGGCTGACGTCAGCACGTTGTAATATAAAATTGTGGAACATCAACGTTTTAGGATAGCCCTTCTCTCTGAGTGCTCCTGTTAAACTTGCTTCATAGTCGGCTCCTTCGTAGTCTACAAATGTGGTGAATACAGAGATGAACAGACGTGTAAAACCTAGTACATCCCACAATTCAGGAGGCCACTGCTATTGTGATTTGGCACTATATCAACAAAATACAACTGAATTTTGGGTCAATCAATATATGGTTGGCAACATTTCTTAATATAAAGTGTGAATATCACCTCTGTGATGAATATTTCATTTCTACCTCAGGAATTAAGTGATTCCCACTGAGCTGTGTATGCTTTCACAGCCTGTATAAAACACAGTGAGGACCAGAGAGGCCACCCTTCGGAGGAAGCTCATTTCTGCCGCTTGTATCCGTGATATCGTTCTTTCGGTCACTGCCCACAGCTGGTGACCATAGGTGAGGGTAGGGACGTAGTAAATCGAGAGCTTTGCTTTTACACTCTGCTCTCTCTTCACCACGACAGACTGAAGACATATAAAGATGAAATATCTAAGATGTGCTTTGTTGGACATCTGCAACACCAACATCTGCTGTCACATTATAAAGCAGCTTAGTATAAGTGCAATCACATTCTTTCACCGTGCTTTGCCTCAGTGCTTATGGATTCTCCTTCACATTCTTCTTTCACCTCATGACATTTTCCATTAAAAAGGGAATTTTTGGACTGATCTGACAGAGCACCAGACTGTGCACTGAGTATAAAACAGGTAAAACTTCACCAAGCACAGGTTCATCACCCCAAGTAGCATTGGATCCTCGGTTATAACAGGAATTTCAGGAACGCTGCTTTCAGATCAGTGTTTTCAAGGTTGATCATGTGCATTAAAAACCAGACTGGGTTCCATTTTATTGATATGCTATGTTTATCAATGTTCATTAAGACATTCTACAGCACAGAGCCATCGGTACATTCTGTATATTTCCATTGGAGTGAAAGTGTGTAAGTGACGCTCGAGCCAAAAGATGCAGCTTTAAAATTGAACAGACTTCAGCAGAATCAACAAAACACAGAACATTTCTTTTCCTTGAGAATACATTTGTGTGTATATACAAATTTATCAAAAGCCACATTAAAAAGAAAAATAATAATCTCGTTTGAATCACAAATTAAGACTGAAAAAAAAAAAAAAAGGTAAAGAAGAGTAGACAGAGGTGCTACATTCTTTCTAAAATGTTCAGATTTAAAATCACGACTCAAAAATAATCAATAATTTCTCGTTCCTATGCCCCAAAATTCCTTTCACGCTCCTTTTCGTATGAGAAAGTGCACACTGCTAGTTCTCTTCTTGATATATTATTAACATTCATTTCTGTGTGTGATGCTGACATTTCAAACGTCATTCAAAAGTTAAGAAGTCACAGAAACCCTAAATTAAAACAAATAAATCATCATATAATACTGTTTAACATGGGAGTTTAAAATAAGCTTGATGCCACATTATTTTTCACTCAGAGCGTGGGTTGATTATTTCTCTGGATTGGCCTCTGGATGGCAGTACAGAACCACCTGGAGGACATGAGGACGGCCGTGGCGTTTATAAGTTGCTAAACAGTTCATTCCTCTTGCTCCAGTCCATGGCCGGGGCCTTCTTGGCGCCACGCTTCTGCTGGGCTCTTTCTTTGGCCTGAGCTACTGTCAAGGCAAGACCCAGGTTGTCAATGGCTGGGGCCGGCTCTGACCTCGATGCCCTTTCAATCTAGAAACACACATATATTCAAACAAGTTCGTTTTTCTCTGAGCTTTAAAACTATTCCAAATCTTTCAGTGGCATGGAGACAGTACCTCTGAAGGCGAGGAGTTGTTTGTTGCTGCTGGTAGGGAGCTGCTGGAAGAGGCACTGGAGACGGAAGAGCTCGCAGATACTTTAGGCTTTGCATTTATCTGCCAAACACACAACACACATTCAAAAGGGTCAATTCATCCAAAGTACAAAACACCATCCGGAAAGCATCTCAGCTTCAAAGGACATGAACATTTCGATTATGCAGAGCTAGACCCTTTTCAAACCCAGTGGAAACTCAAAGTTTAGAGGTAGCTCATTTCAACTAGCTGCTCATTAGAAGCCTTTCTGAACTTCCAGAGAAAGGAAACTTCACCAAAAAAGCAAAAATAAAAGCTCACTTCTGAATATCCTCATTCAATGTTAGAGTCCAACACCTGTAGCTCAGGAGGTAGAGCAGGTCATCTACTGATCGGACAGTTGGTGGTGTCTGTAAGCCAAATGTCCTTGGGCAAAATATTAACCCCAGGTTGCTCTCTGATGCATCCATTGGAGTGTGAATGGTAGATATAAAGCACTTTAAAACATAGAAGACAGTGCTTGTGTGCATGGGTGAATGCTGTATAGAGCGCTTTGAGGACTGTGGGAGAGTAGGAAAGTGCTATATAAGACAGTCTGTGTTTTTACATCAAACAATCTGAAGCGAAGTACAAGAATACAGACGTGGTGTATTTCTTCTACGAGAGTCACACAAACATTTCTTTTTAATTATCAAGACCAAATGTGCAGGCAGAGAGAGGGGAGTGTCACCAGCAGGGGGGCTGGTCATTCAGAGGCTCAGTGTGAGCAGTCCTCTCTCTGAGCACACTGTTCAGGGATCGGCACATAGCCCTGCTCCTATCTGATATGCAGTGTGGAACTCACCTCATCTATGAAAATTTGGCCTCCAGTGTGGAAGCAGCTGTTTCTCTAAAAATAACCCCAGCCCCATGCTGCACACGAGCATGAGCCCTCTGCTGTAAGGTGTCTTCATCAGATGCCTCTAATAGTATTCCATTTGCACTAATGCCACTTAAAAGCCTTTTAAGTTACTGAATATCTAAGCAGGACTATTGGCCACCTGATGATAAAAGGCACACTGGAGGTCAGAGGTCAGGGTATGGATTCATGCCGCCATGTTATATAACAGCTGGTGAATGACTGATTGTTCGCTACAGAAGTCTGGCTGTATGTGAGAGTGTGTGAATGCTGCTCATTAGCATAATCCTCAAATTAAAGCCACTGCAATCCCATGATCTTCTACTCCTGTTGCCATGGTGAAGAGGTCAGCCACAATGTCACTAGAGGGGCCAATCCACAATTCCCATGTTGTCACTGGGTGTGTGTGTGTGTGCGTGCGTGTGTATAGACGTAGTGGGTGGTGTTTATTTTGATGACTGAGCCTGTGCTAATTAAAGGGGCATTGCACTGGTTTTCTCAGGCTGAGGAGAAGTGAGTCTGCTACATTTTGAACTCTTTATGTGACATTTGTTACTTAAGTATACGTCACACAGTTGCATCCTGCTTCACTCTCTCGGGCTGCTTAATGTTATCTCTTCAGTTGCAGAAGACTCGTTAATATTAATGTCAATGCAACGACCGTGATCAATTTAATGTGGAAATTCAAAATCCTTTAAAATAACCCTACTATGAATACAGACACGTACAAAGTAGCATGCATAATTGAAGTAATGCAAATCATGATGGGACAAAGAAGAAACAATCAGAGCTTTAAATGGAACTCAATGCAAAAGCATCTTAAAGTGTAGGACCACAGACAGCCACTAGGGGGCTATTTTCAGTTGGCAGATTTTCATGCCAGATGCAACCCCAAAAATGTCTCTGCCACTGGATTCAAACCAGCAAGCTTTCACTTGCCATCAAATATATGAACCCCTGCACAGTGCCAGTTTACTTCCATGAAGTACTAAATATATTTTGTTTATAACATTATGTGTATGTGATTTTTCTTTCAGCTTTGGTCCTAATGGTTTGTGTGATGATGATCACTTTCAACATTATGCTATAATCAGGTAGATAGTAGACCTCAAAGACAGCATCTGTTGTAAAGGCTCACCATTCAGCACACTCACTTCACTAGATGCACCTTGTTTCTTTTCCTCACCTCTGATTGGGTGTGGTGCTTGCCCTTACCGGTCACTCGTTATATAAGGACTGCACTCACCTACAGCTCACTCTTTCTTCACTGCCACATGGAGCGGCAGCTGAGGTGAGTTTCTGTTCGAGTCTTCTGAGTTCATGTATTATTTTGAGTTACTTAAATCATACTTTATTTCCTTTCAGAGATAGAGTCCATGTGTGTCTTTCCTTTTGCTCATTATTTAATAAAAAAAAAAACCCTGCAAGTGATTACTGACTGTTCATTCTCATCCTGACTGGATGAGCCCATGATGGTAACAATCTCCAACCTCCTCTGAACCTTCCTTCAAAACAGCATCCTTGGGGGTGTGACTGGTGTGACTCCAAACTGTCTAGTTTGGAATGATTGACAAACATTAATAACTTTGAGTCACATGCTCACTGGTTTCATTCATTAGTTTGTAGTCAGAATTTTGAAGTAGACGACACTTTCTTACTGTTC